TTTTTTTTTTTTTTTAAAAAAAGAGAAAGCTGCTGGAAGTTGGGCTTGGTGGTGCACTCCCTGCCCTGGGAGCCTGAGGCTGGAGGACTGCTGAAAGTCTGAGGTTGGCCTGGCCAACATGGTAAGTTCTAGGACAACTAAGAACTACATAATGAGACTCTGCTTCAAAACAGAACAGAACAAAAACTAGGAATGGCGGTTCAAGACTATAATCCGAGCACTGAGGAGGTAGAGACAGAAGAATCACAAGTTCAAGGTCAGACCTGGGTTGCTCAGCAGGTTTGAAGGCACCGTGGGCTACAGAGTTAAAAGACTCTGTCTCAAAACCACAATCCTGCTGGGTAGGCATAGTGGTACATGCCTTTGATCCCAGCACTTAGGAGGCAGAGGCAGGCGGATCTCTGTGAGTATGAGGTGAGAATGATCTACAGAGTGAGTTTCAGGACAGCCAAGGGCTACAGGGCAAGACCCTGTCCCAGAATCAAACAAACAAACAAAAACAAAATATTCCAGAACAGAGACCAGAAAATGAATATGCTCTGGGAGAGGATATCCCTTTAAATAGCCACTAGACGAGGGTTCTGGAATCTCTGCTGCCTCATAGAGACCCATCCCCCCACCTGTGGGCTGTCTGTCCCAGGGGACCAGGCAGTGAGTCATTTTCTGGGGTGTATATGTATAAGGGTAAGGGTGGAGAGGGCACTGGGCCAATAGAGGCCTATACAGAGACATTCAACTGAGGTAGGAAGTCCCTGGAAGATAGTCACTGAGCTGTGTGGCCTGAAGAGAAGATGCAGGTGGGGTGGGGAAGGGCGTGGCTTCCAGTGAGGATGTCTTAAAGTCTGCTAGGTGGTGGAGAACTAAGTTTCTTAGAGGGAGCCATAAGTTCTTAGGGAAGGTGGTCCGGGAAGGGGATAGGAGCATGGGGTGATAGGAGATTGGGAATCTTTTGTTTTGTTTGAGAGAGATAGTCTCGTGTAGCCTAGGTTGGTTGTAAGTTCACTATGTAGTGAAAAATGACCTTGAACTTCTGGTCCTCCTGCCCGCTTCCCCCACGTGTTGGGATGACAGGTGTGCCCCACCACGCTTGGTTTATACTGTACTAGGGGATGGAACCTAGGACCTTGTGCGTGCCGGGCAAGCACTCGACCACTGAGCTACATTTTAGCTCCTGTTTTGTTCTATTTCTTTGTTTGAACTGAGATAGGGTCTCACACTGGAGTCCAGCTGGCCCAGAACTCCTTATGGGGCCCAGGACTGCCTTGAACTTTCAATCTCTTGCCTCGGCCTCCTTGGCGCTAGGATTACAGGTTTGAATCACCACACGACTAGTGCTGGGGATCTTGAGGTCACCAGGCAGGGGGCTTGGGGAGGGAAGTGGAGGAGCCTCCCCTGAACCAAGGGTGTGAGCCAGTCCTACCTTGATGTCCTTGGCAGCTGCCCCCTTGGCATGGGGGTGAAGAGGAGCCTTCAGACAGGAGGCAATTTGCTTAATCTCTTGACCAGCATCCTCACAGTACTGTCCACTGCTACCAACTACTGGATACGACAGCAGGGGGGCCACAGTGGTTTGTGGCAGGAATGTACCCATGGCATCTGCTCCAACATTCCCTGCCAGAGTGAGACCTGCCCCTACATCAGACCACATTCCAAAGCCCATCCCTGTCCCCAGCTCCAGATGTTCCCTCCCACCCCAGGCTCAGATCCAGCTGTCCTCCACCACCAAGGCTTTTCCTCCCCAGACCTGTCTTGCTTCCCTCTTCTTGGTCCCCATATAAACACTGGGAGATGGCTGAGCTCTAGACACACATGGTGTGTGTGGGGGGAGGGGAGGGTCAGGGTGACTAGGAGAGCTCAAGGCTGCTCTTTCATGGCAACAGGGAGCCCCACTGATGTTACCCTGTCTCTCTAGACACCCTGGCGGTGACTGCAGCATGCATGGTGTTGGCAGCGACCTTCAGTATCGTATCTTTGGGGATGGGGATGAGGATTTGGTGTCATGAGGGCGAGTCACTGCGTAGCCAGAATGCCATTGTCTTACTTTTTCTCAGCGGTGAGATGGCAGCTACACTCATGTGGGAATGGGTGGTGGTGATGGCAATCCCGAAAGAGCTGGGTCAAGAGGGGTTGGCTGATAGGGTTAGAAGTGGAGGATGAAGTGGTGAAGTCCAGTACTGGAGAGACAGCCTCATAACAGTAGGAGCAGGTGTATCTCTGTTTCTTTTGCCTGCTCTTGGGACTCTTTTCTTCCCACTGGGTTGCCTGATCCAGCCTGATAAGAAGGCTTTTGCCTTGTCCTTTTGTATCTTGTTTGTCCTGTTTGGCTGTGGTTTCTTGGAGCTCAGTTCTTTTCTGAAAAGGAAACGGAAGGGAAGAAGTGGATCTGGGGAAGGGAGGAGATAATAGAGAAGCTGGGAGGCATGGAGAGAGAAAACTGACCAGGTGTGTTGTTTAAGGGGAGAATCTATTTTTAATAAAAAGTAAAAATAGAAATGGAAAGGAAAGGGAAAGGAAAGGGAGGAGAGGGGAGGACAGAGGAGGGCAGGGGAAGGGAAGGAAAGGAAGGGGAAGGAGGAGGAATCCAAAGGCCTAAGGGTAGCCTGAGGCTGTTCTGAAGGGCGTGGCCTAGGCAATAGGGGGCAGGCTTGGGTGCAGCCACCACCTGGTCCCACCCCCCCACCTGACGGGTGGGCGTGGCTCAGGGCTGCTGCTGATGATTGCACTGATTGGATACACTGCAAAGAATGCCTGGAAGCCAGAAGTCTTCTTCTCCTGGTCCTACTTTTTCGGATGGCTGGCTTTACCCTTCTCGTTTCTTGCGGGTAACCAGCACAAGGGGGAAAGGGTGGAGACTACCCCTCTAGAGGAGTCCCCGCCCCAGAAACCTCCCAGTCTCCTGTTCTCCCAGGAAAGCCCACAATGACTTCCAGGGACTTCCCAACACCTGCACTCCAGACTCCAGCACACCCGGTGGGGACGCCCTTGGAGCCCCCATCCCTAGTCCCCAGGCAGACCAGGTCATCCGCCCCAGGGCCCACCTTTCTTTCCCCCCCCCCCCCCCCCCCCCCCCCCCCCCCCCCCCCCCCCCCCCCCCCCCCCCCTCCCCCCCCCCCCCCCCCCGGCTCTGCACTTCCCTCCTGCCAGGCTTCTGCTTTCTGCTGGCGGACATGATCATGCAGAGCACCGAAGCCATCAGCGGGTTCCCAGTGTGCCTGTGAATACGGCCTGACTGGGGCAGAATAAAGGAATGGCTTTTAGCGCCGGTCCTGCGTGCTTTTCTGCGGAACTAGTTAGGCTTGAAGACTGCGGGAAAACGATTACCGGGGCTTGTAGAGAGTGAAGGAGGTCAGGAGGAATGTGGGCCGGTGGAAGCGGAGACATGGAACCTGGAGCATGGAGTGGACTCGGGGTGAAGAGGTGGGGTCGCAGGAGATTTGGACGCAGGGAGAGGGTATGGGGATTAGCCGACAAGGGCGAGTCGTAGGGGACGTGGGGACAAGGGACGAGAGGACACGGGGGAGTCACAGGAAAGGAAAGTGTAGACGCATAGATGTGGAGGAAATCTAAAGGGAGAACGCGGAGGCGAGCAAGCGAGGGGGGGAAAGGCACAGGGTGCGCGTGGGAACACAGACACGGCGACCTGAAACGGTGAAGAAAGACGGACGTGAACTGCAGAGCTGGAGACTACAGAAGTACGAGGGGGAGGGGAGAGAACAAGCAAGCTCCCAGCCAATTTCACTCCCAGACTTGCCCTTTCCCCTACTTCGACGCCACGCCCCCTCTTCCAATCGGCCCGCCCTGGATTCCGCCTCTCTCCGAGTTCCGCTTTCCATTGGCTTCCTCTGGGTTGTGCAGCGATTGATTGGTTGGTGGCGCCGCGCGCAGGCGCAGAGACAGACCCGGGGGCGGATTGACCGAAAGTCTGCTTTAGCCGCAACCCGACCCGGCCAGTGACTGCTACAGGAAGATGGCGGAGCTGCGCGCGCTCGTTGCTGTCAAGAGGGTCATCGACTTCGCTGTGAAGGTGACTTTCCCCACCCCGACTCTGTCCCAGCACCTTGAGACCGCAGCTGTGAGCTTCCAGGATCAGGAGTGTACCCAGCATGGGAGATCCTTCTCAATTTCTATTGCCCTTTGACCAGTCATACCTGAAGCAAAGATCAAGGGCTGTGAGTTTCTGACAATCAGATCCCTCTGGGGTCACGACCGTGCTTCCCTCTTTCTCAGTCCCTTGGTAACTGTGGGCTGGAGGAGTCATAGTTCCTGTTTAAACACACGGGGAAACTGAGGCTCAAAGTCACTTAGCAAGGGAGAAGCCAAAGAGACACTTGTGTGTGGGACCTGCGGTTCAGTCACTTTCTGGCTGCATTACCTGCTCTGCAAGTACCCCACATGGAGAGCCATCTGCTTCCTTGGGACTCAGAAACTGCCTCATGCACATAACCACGGGTTGCTCGAGGAAGCTCTTTTGCTAGAAAGGGAAGGAGACTTGTGTTTGCTGTTGAAGCGGTTTGAGGGCTGGACCCCTGAAGTCCCCAAAAAGAAGCTGGCAGAGGCAGCATTGAATCAGACTGGGTTCCAGGCCAGTCTCTCTCAATGCTTGGCCTATCCTGAAGGGAAAGAGATGGCGACAGTTCATGTGTGTCTATCCCCATCATCTTGGGGGGTCCTTTCTGTGTCCTTCACATTTCCTAGCTTTCCTAGTTTAGGACTGTGCACCCAAGACAGGTGAAAACTGGCTACAACCATGACAGTGATACCACCGTCCCTACACCCCCACTGAGGAATGATACAGAAGACAGACTCAGGCATGAAATGGCCACAACTCTAACAGCAGACACTGAAGTGGGCACAAACCACCAGCAGACACACAGGTTCTGCACAGAGTCTAATCCATTTGCACATCTTCTGTCCCCTTAATCCCATAGAGTGGATGAGGAAACTGAGGCCCGTGGGATCCCCCAGCTGGGGAAGCAGCCAGAGTCAGAAGTCCAGGCAAGCGGGGCTCTTGGCCTGTTTGCTATAGAGAAAACAGGTTGGCTTAAGGATACTCCTCACAGCCCATGACAGAGATGATACTTCCAGACTTAAAGATACACACTTAGGTTCCTGGGATCCGACTCAACCACCATTTATTATTTGTTTGTTTGTTTTGTCTGTGTGCGTGTTGGTGGGGAATCAAATCAAAACCTTCCAAATGCTAGGCCAGGCAAGTGCTGTACCATTGAGCTATAGCTCCAATCGTTTATCTGTTTTATTTTTAGAATAATAATAATTATTATTATTATTATCAGGGCCTTTTTATTTAATTTTTAAGAATGATTATTTTATGTGCATTGGTGTTTTGTCTGCATGCATGCATGCGTGAGGATGTTGAATACCCTGGAACTGGGGTTTGCAGACAGTTGTGAGATACCATGTGGATAGCCTGTGTCCTTTTGAAGCGCAGCCAGTGGCCAGCCCTTAGAGATAGTCTTATTTAGTCTAGGTTGGCCTGGAACTCACAATGATGTTGATGATGACCCTGAACCCCTGATCCTCCTGTCTCCACATCGTAAGTGCTGGGATTACAGGTGTGTACTACCATGCCTGGGTCTCTGTGTTTTATTCCGAGGTGTTTACTAGCCCAGGCTGGCCTTAGATGCCCCATCCCCAGCCTTGCTTTGATGCTTGGCCTGTAGCACCTCACCCAGCATCCTCACCATCTTGAATCAGCTCTGATCCCAGCACCTGCTAGCGCAGAACATGGGCCATGGTCATTTATGGTATGTTCAGTGAGAACTTCTAAAAGTGAACCCAGCATGGTGTCTACCTCATTCCTCTCCTCCAGGTCAATGGCACCTCCCTCCTGCACTATGCTGGGCTTCCTACTTCATATCCAACATCTGCTGGCTCACTCCCCTAAAGGCATCCAGGGAGTCAGACCTTGCTTGCTTCCTAATCACTTGGGCCAGACTTAGGCACCATTCTTTCTCCTAATCCCCAACCTCCTTTGGACTGTCAGTTCCCAGCCCCACTCCTAAAACACCAGGGTTTCCTTTCCAGCCCCAGGCCCCAGGCTCCAAGTCCAAGCCTATTAGCCCCTGTTTCACCTGAACCCTAGCTCCAGCCTGCACCTGATCTTGGACTCTCCCCTTCAGGCCTTTCTCATAGCCTTGGGGGTTTTTACATGCAGGTCTGGCCCTGTCTTGTCATTCTCAGGGTTCTGTGGTCCCCAACACTTTCCATACAAAGTCCCAGTTCCTTGGACTGGCTTTGGGGACCCTTTGTTATTTGGTGCCTCCATCTATGTCCCTTCTGCCCCCCCCCTTGCCATTTCTACTTCCATGCCTCCAGCCTGTGCCCCATGTAAACCGATTCCTTTGCCTCTGTCCTTCCTGCTCTATTTTCCAGTGTCTTCTTCCTGTCTTGACAATTGTGACAAGTTGATTGCATCAACTTTGACCCAACCACCTTTCTCCACAGAACCCTGGTCCTGTTCTGTAATCCCTGTACATAGTATATGGTGGTCCTTTGTTCCCCCCAGTATGCCACCTGCACCCCCATTTCCAGATTGGCAACTCCTGGCCAGCTGGACCAGGTGTGTCTCACCTCTGTTTCCACCGTCACCCAGTCCCTCACAGTGTTTACGCAAAGATCACCTTTTCTGAGGCCTGCCATGATCCCTTGGCAAAGGTTACAGTGCTCAGGGGCCCTGCCACTCCGGACTCCTACCGTGTAAGCAACGTCACTTCTTATTGCCATTCTGGAATTTGAAATCTGCTGGGGAAAGAGTGGCTGATGTGTTCACAGTAGGAACAGTCTCAGGCTGCAGGCAGGCTATCACAAAGGTTCATCCCACTGATAAAATGGCCTTTAACATGATTTTTTTTATGTGTAAGAATATTTGCCTGTAAATATGTTGTGTGCAGTATTTGCATGCACTGCTCTTGGAGGCCAGGAGAAGGCATCTGAGCCCCTAGAACTGAATTACAGATGACTGTGAGCCACCATGCGAGTGCTGGGAACTGATTCCCAATCCCCTGCAAGTACAGCCAGTCTTCTTCACCGCTGAGTCCTCTCTCGGGATCCAGAGAGAATGGCCCGGACTCTAAAACCGCCTGTGTGGGCCACTCTTGTCTCTGTGACTCTGAGAAAGGTAATGAGCCACGCTGAGCCTGTTCTCCCCCACTTGGCAGTGGAACTTATGGTAGTACCTACTTTATGGGGGTCAATTACTTTTTATTTCATTTGTTTATTTGTGTGGGGGCGGGTCCTGCACATGTCACCGTCCTGCTGTGGAGGCCAGAAGCCTACTTGAGGGTGTGGGTTCTTTGCCTTGACTGTGTGGGTTTCTGAGATCAAATTCAGGTTGTCAGGCTTGGCAGCAAGTCCCTTTATCTACTGAACCATCTCAGTGGCCCAAAAGGGTAGCCCAGGCTCATCTGAAACATCCTCCTCGTGCGTGTGCCTCTTCAGCGTATCCTGCTGGAAGGGCCGCCACCGTGGATTGCTGAGTTGGGAGAATAGTCCTTGAAACGGTGCCTTCTTCAGTGAGTGCTGCTGACTGTTTGAACCGAGAATGATTGATGAGAGCCTCTTTAGCAACTTTAAATTATAGCCAGTGCCTGCAGAGCTGGAAAAGGTGGTATTAATAGGTATTTGGCAACTCTCTGATGTTTGGTTATGGTCAGGGGTACATTTTCCATAAGGGTTAACTCTCTTTGAGTTACACAGGAGAGGCTGGGTAATTTGAGGCCGCCCCACCCCTTCATTGAGACTCCCCACACCTTCCCTTTACGACCTACACACTTTCGCCTCTCAGCCTCAGGCCCTGCTGTAATTCCCAGAGACACTTGGTGCCACCCGTGTGACCTCCCATCAGGCCTTGCTGCTCCCCTTGTCCTGTGCCCACCAGTGCCCTTTCCCATCGAGTCCATTAAGAAAAGTCTGGCACAGACCCAAACGGAAGCCTGTGCACTGTGTCAAGGGCCCCGGAAAGGCTGCCAGGAGCTGCATTTTAAAATTCCCTCTTTAAAACAAGTGTTTGTGCGTGTGTGCATACATGCACAAGCAGGCTTACGTGTATGTGCCATGGGCCTCGGTCAGAGGTTCTCTCCTTTCACCATGTGGGTCCTGGGAATCAAAGGCAGGTTGTCAGGCTTGGCAGCAGGCACCTGGGCACACTGAACCTGCTCACTGGACCTCTAGTTGCTTTATCTCCATTTGTTTCTGTTTTTTTTTTTTTTTTTTTCATGTGTCCTATCCTGGCCTTGAACTCCTAATTCTCCTGCTTCTGCCTCCCAAATACTGGGATTATAGGTATGCACCCTTACACTCTGCTCATAGAAACCCCTTTCCTTATAATCTTATCTACCCAGGAAGCCTCCTCTTGAACACTAAAAGTTCAAGGCCAGCCCAAGCTACTGTGAATCCAAGGCATTCTGAGCAATACCCCATCTCAAAATGAAAGGGGGGCACATTGCCGGTGATGTAGTTCAGTGATCCAGTGTTTACCTGGAACAAGGCAATCTCTGGGTTGTGTCTCTTAAAGGGAAGAAGAAATAGTTTATTTTAGAGCCATTTTGAGTGACCATGGCCCAGCAACACAGATTAAGGTTAACAAATTACATCTTCCAATGTGGAAGCAGTTTCATGAAGTTTTCATAGTTTTTCAGAACAAAGAAAGATCAAGGCAAGTTTAAAATACACTGGTGGCTGTGCAGAGAGGCAGGTTCATTGCAATGGGG